ACAGATACATGAATGCCGTTAACAACAACTTTTATTTGTTTCAGTAGGAGATGTTTTGCTAGTATTTGTCAAGCGTACTAGAAAAAAGTTAGTGTCAGCTATAGCCAATTAACTGGTCACTACCTCCTTGGAGGTAACCTCCTTGTATCCTCAGTTAACCCTTTTTTCAAATGATCACTAGAGGGACAACTGTATTTTCAATTCTTGGAAAGGGCAGAAATGCCCAAGAGCCTTTACCCTTCAGAACATAAACTCTTCAATTCTTCGAAAGGGCAGAAATACCCAAGAGCCTTTACCCTTCAGAACATAAACTGCCAATGAAGGAAGCCCCCAGCATATCAAGATGAGCTCTGTGTACCTTCAGGTGGTCTCTTTAACTCAGACTTTCGATAAAACAGCATGTAGGCACTCTCTTTACCCTGAAATTGTTTCTCAATATCCTTCTCCTTGATGGGCTGGACTTTTGAATCATTCAGATCAAACCAATGGCAACCAGCAGAACCATCCCTTAGCCTGGTAGGGTTTTTTTCTGAATTCCACTGGACATCGTTCTTCTGAGGAGAGCTTTGGAAATCTTGGCCTTGAGAATCCGACTTAAACGGGAGCTTGTGTTTTTCCTTCAGACCAACCTTATTTTCATCAGGACTGAACTGAAATATCTGAGGATGATTCTGCAAATACTGAAAGGAAAGCAAGGACAAGATGAAGAAGATACCCAGCTTTTAAATATAGCTCTTGAGCTCAATTCTGGTCTGCAGAGCTGTATCTTACCCAAATTAATGCTGCCCATTGTGGCATCTCAAGAACTTAAAGCCTACTCATTCAGTATCACCCAGCTTATCCACCCTGTTCTCTACTTTAATTTTAGCAGCACACAGATACTGCAGAGAAGCTGAGTGTCCAAACGACACAAACCAAGGCTGTGGCTCTACAGAGATGGAGGCAGGGGGCTGAACACCAATCACCCTCCAATCCCCCTCCCAAAACAACAAAAAACATCCCACTCCCTCAAAAAATAAAACCCAAACAAAAAACAAGCCCCCAAAAACTGAATTTCAGTTTCAATTACAATCAAAAACTCATTGGATAGTTCAAAAACCGTAAGACAATGTACAGTTATTTCAATAAGGCAAGTATTGCACTGATTAATGTGCTTTTGGTGTAGATCAGCACTTGTGAAGAGTCAGCTTTGGTAATGTTCACAACAGCACTCAAACTCTGAAGTGGTTAATACTGGGTAGCTCACAACTTGTTTCTACCATTTCCCTGTCAAAGTCAGAAAAGCACCTACCTCCGCAGAAGACTAACATTCAGATTTCACAACTACCTTTAAATGATCATTGTGAAACCTGCATTGTTAGGTCCATTCAAAAAACACAGTCCAACATGAATTTTCCACGTATCTATAACACAAATGCTAAAGTATTTTCCTTAAAGCATTTAAAAAATACAATAACCAATTGAACAAAGACAAGATTTTACTGCAAGTGTTAATTTTACAGATATGCTCTAACCAACCAAAGAGTGGCATACATTTCCAAAACCTCATTTCTGTTACAACTGTGAAGAGGTAATGTATTTCTTCTTTAATTCTCATCACTGCTGCTGGTTTCAAGTGGTAGTATTGCTGGTGCAGCTTGATCCATAGACACAAGGTTCAGTACATAAGGTTGTTTGTTTTTTTTTTTATAGGCCAACCATATAGATGGAAAAAAAAGACACAAGCTTTCAGGCAGACAATCTCCTGAGAATCTTGTCCGCGTTCCCCAATCTACTAATTTATCTTACAAACCCCCCTTACGCATGCTCTATCCTGCTAGCCCAAGGGCCAATATTTTAAATTATCATCCCATTGACTATTCATATAAATGCAAAGTTATCTTAACAGTAAAAACCAAACTAGCATACGTGCATATTACCTTTCGTAATGGTCCATATTGTTTTCGGTATTTCTTATTCCAGGATACTCCTTTTTCCTCCAATAATTTCTGCCCTAATTGATCCACGGGAATTTGTTTAGATTCTTCCTACAGAGAAATTAAAAACTAGGATAATGAAGGCTACAAAGAAGCCAATTCTGAAGTGCTTAAGTCATTCCTGTTTGTTAATAAGGCAAAGTAACATTGCCTTTCACAACAGCTTCAGTAAGCCACTTAAGAAATACTCAAAGAGGGCCCTTTTCTGTACGGAAAGTCACTATTAGTATTAAAGTCAGGTTAATTTACAAGTTTTATATGCTTCACAAGAAGTTCAGAAGAGTTCTGTACGCTTAAACCTGCCCACTCTTGCATACACTAACCCCTTCTTCTAGGTTCCCTAATATCAAAATCGAAGCAATAAACTCCTTACATACCATACCTCTGCTAAAATCCCTTTTAAGACTGCCAACGGATTTTCTATTTCTTTGGCATTTTCAATATCTCTTAAAGCCTTATCTTCAATCAGCCTATCTTCTTCTTCCTGTATAAGAAAAATAAGACTCACAAATACTGTTGTTTCACAAACCACTAGCAGTTTTCGATTATAGTCTGTACTAACATTAGCATGCACAATTTAGAAGTGTGAAGGAAGTTCTGATAAGCTGCCTCTGCCACCTGCTACAGACTGTATACTGTCATACAGATTATCTTTTTTTTTTTTTTAATTTTTTTTTTTTTGCATTATTTACAAACAACCAGCATCATACGTGAAAATGACTGTGCCGGTCTTGAGCAAATATAGTAATTCATTTGGGGAAAAAAAAAGTGAGCCCGGTAAAGTGAGATAGTTCAGCAGATTGGAATTTTGCTACAAAATCTTGATTGAGATGGTACACTGTGGAGAACCAGCCTTCTCAATGAGGCAAGAGACCAACTGCCTCACTAAAATATTCATTAGTTTGGATACACATTTCATCCACTAGCTCTTAACACTTTTGTGAAAAATGAGCCGTATCAAGCAAGGAAGAAAAACCTTTAGGACTTACTTGTAATTGCCAGTTTCCTAATTCATCCACATCTCTGATATAAACATGATAGTGTCCTCCATAGCAGCCACCTTTATGTATAATAACAGAGAAGAGCTCATACATGTACTCTGAATCATCCATTTCAGTCTTTAAAAAGAAAAACAATAATAGTAACAATAACATATATCAGTAAGTCTTTCACTCACGGGACAGTTTTACACCATCAGCATAGTTTCAGATATTTCTCAGTGTGCATTCACATGTGCAGCGACTGAAATGGCTTTTCAGAGCTGGGGAACACAAGCATGGACTGACACAAACCATGGACTAAGGCACAGGGTTATTAAAGAACCTTTTAAACATGATTCCGAAAAATATTGGAAATTCTAAATTAAATTAAAATTTTAAATAATGAAATATTGATGCAAATAATAGAACAGCTCAGCCAGTTTGTTCATAACCAGGCTCATTTTCTTTCAAAGATTAGAGAAAAAACAAGCAACACATTTATATACACAAACCAACTGGGGTGGGGGGGAGAAGTCTTCCTCAAATACAAACACCGAGAAATTTCCAAGCTTGCACTGCAACATTTCAGTAAGAAAAATGTCTTTTTCAATAACAGCGCCTCTAGTAAGTTTATTCTTTAGATATTTCAAGGATCAAAAACTGTCACTGAGCAATGGTATAGCGCAGTTTATAATCAAAATGCATATATATATATGAATGCAAGGACAGATTCCTAAGGAAAATGAAATAAGTACAGGCACATCAATCACATACAGCTCATTTATACATGACGTTATCAGACAATGACAATACAAATATAAATTTCAATTTCCAAGTGATAATCTTCCTTTCAAGGAAATATCAGATTTAGTTTTAGGTAATTATTATACCCTTTCCCCTTGTATAGCTACAAGGTATTTCCCATTCAGAAAGTGGTCTTTTGGAAACAAATTGGAATTCCAAAAAATTCGGAATTAGGGAGAGAAGAGAACCCCACAAAGTTTCTCAAATACCTTGCCCCGACAAAATGCAAAAGAAAAGAAAACTTATCCTTGAGATATTGGTTCTTTGCTGGGCTTATAGAGACTTTAACAAATACAACAGTACAAACCTGCTCACAAAAAGGTCTCAGATTTATCTGGATGGGGAATGTATAGCAGCTTGTCTCCTTGTATCGTTCACACTTCTCAAAGTCAAAGTTAAATCTCAGGAGAGAAACGGTGAGAAAGGGTGGCAACTTGCGTAGTTTAGCAGACTGTAAATGATTTTAAAAAAACTGTAAGCACACAGTTGTAACAGAATAGTGTTTCCACCTTGCTATGGTCAACTCTATTTTCCAACAAAGCTTCGTTACAATCAAGCAGACGTGACAAGTGTCTTCATTTTTAAAATTTCTTCCCTAATTCTCAGTTTCCCTACCAGACTAGACTAAAAGCAATCAAGATCTTTCCCCTCTGTTAAGCTCTACACCTTCCTTGAATGGTGATCACCAGTCCCATACTTTACCCCACTCCAGAAAACCAAGGAGGATGTTGCTGAAATTCTAGTCAGTAATGACATTTCCGTAGCCCACACGTTCATTGCAAGAGGATTTTCTTGAATTTTATACTAAGAAGCAACCACTTCAAACCCCTGGGTGTGCGCTTATGCATGAAATCAGACTATACAGCATCTTTCCAGCAGTTTTGCTCTTGGCACCTGCCACCACCCAAATCCTGGGAGCCCAGACTAAAAAAATAAAAATAAAAAAAAAAAAAAGCAAAACCACACTCAACTGCTGCTGAACAGCAAGTGCTGCAGAAGAGCGACACAGCTTCGTGGTAGCTTCTCCATTCCCAGATGAACAGTGCAATGATCAGCGTCTGGCGCAGGCGCTGAAGCCATCCAAAAAAAAAAAAAATATATATAGCTACAAATGAAGCTCAACCTACAAATGTAGCCTACATGCTTGCTTGTGGTGTGAGGAAAGGACCTCAACTGAGGCTGGGACTATTACTCTCCTGGTTAGCTCCTCAAAACACAGCATTGGTACATCATCTGAGGTTTATTCCAATGACCTCTGAGGAGTTTTCCAGTTCTCCGGGGTTCTGTTTCCCCAAGTATAGGTCAGGGCTCATACAGGCACAGTGTTTTCAAATGTGGAAGTCAGAAATTATCTATCTGTAACATAACTAGCTCCTACAGGTGTATATTGTCCAGAAAAAGAGGTAACTCCCACATATATTCTGCAGCCTGCTGCTGCGTGACTGAGGGCTGCCTCCAAACATAACAGGAACGGTCTGAAAAATGTCACCGGACTATATCACAGTGGCATCTAGCTTAAGATCTGCTAGGGTGTTTGAAGAAAAGGGCCTTGACTGAGACCTGTGGGCTACAGTAAAGGCGCACGATGCTATGCCTGAGTTAGACAGGGTAGGTGTACCCTGGAAGGCCCTACAGCCAGCCACAGAACAACCAAGCAAGACTTAAAGTCTCCCTCATTTATACAGAAGAGGACCTTCAAGGCAGGAAAGCCAACATAATCCATTTTAGTAAGGAAGAATATTAATCTAGATCAAACAACTTGGGGCGTAAGCACATGGGGAACCCTGATGCAAAGTAAACCCATCTTGTATTGCCTCTGAACGTAAGCGTAGATTCAGCGGACACGCTTTGAGCCTTTCCGATGTCTCCACCCAACTCCCCATCTGCAGAGCCATACCAGACAGCCTCCCAGGAACACATACACGGCCTGAGAAACTCCCTGAATTAGGGATTTAATTTGCGCCAATTGCAAAGAGTTCTGTGCAAAGCTTAGCGGCACAATGGATTTTGCATGCTCTTCCAAGTTTAGGGTGATAATCAGACTGCACAATTGAAATTTGATAAGGTTCTGGAACCCGAAATTCTTCAAATACCAAACTCTCTAGAGGCCAAGACAGAAAAGGGGGAAGAACGTTACCCAGAGAGCCACAGCGCACTGAAGGAAGGAATGGAGTGGGTAGGCACGGGCCATCTTGTCTTTGACCCAGGCTAGGTGTGGGCAGGTGGTGGCAGTGTTAGGCAGCTGCCTTCCAAATGCTGCCACCAAGCCCAGACTGAGCCAGCCTTGACTCCCACTACGGTCCGCTACCATCACGCTCATCGTGCCAGTAGGGCCACAGGCAGCAGTCGTGCTGACACAACACCCCTCCTTCCCACTACAGCCGTCCAGCACAGCCCCCCTTCTCTCTCTCTCTCGGGGTTCTCCAGTCCTCTCCTGGCGTTCCCCAGCTACACGGCTTCTTACCCAAATTCAGAGCTCCCACTCTCTTCCTGCATGCATGACCACGCCTGAGAGGTAAGCAACTCTAACCTTGCACTCCCTTGAACCCAGCAAAGTTTAACTCATCAAAAAAGCCCTGCCAGATAACCAAGCCGACTGAGGGAGTTGTTGCTAAACTCTCAAACGTGTCTGAGGTACTGATTAACTTCACCCGTCCTGGATTTGCCTTTGCACCCATTCTGTTCATGTTAAAGGTGCTGCAAGGTTGGATTGCGCTCATCTTGCTGTGGAAAAAGTCACTGCAGGCCAAAAAGCTGCGCTGCTGTGAAGAGGGCAAAGCATGTCAAAGGTAGAGTGCACTAAGAACCTATGTCTGCTTTCCCTTTACAAAAAGTAATGGGAATAAAGGCAAAAAGGAGACACTTTTTATAAGAAAATTACAACATGAAAAATTAGCCCAGAAGAAAACCAACCACCACTTTTTATCATTCTGGAAAAAACACAATTCAAAGACCTACAAGTCCCATAAAGCTCCCACTGGGCTGCCCTTCCCTGGCCTCGGCTAAGGGGACAGATAACAAAACACAAAAAAATTGTTAAATTCAATTAACTATGCTGGGGAAACCAGTCCAAACTGTTGTAAACCAACAAAGAGGGACAAGCTGGAGCTCCGATGACTCAGCACAGTAAAGGGTCACTGCATTTAGCTTTAAAAGTAATTTTTTAAAAAAGCAACTAAAAACTGACAGCTCTCACCCATAACTGAGCACAGATCAAAGCAGTGATTCACTCACTAGATTATGATAGAGCAGCACAACTCAGATAAACCCATCGGCTTCCTTCAAAAGCTTCTTCAAGCTACTGCCTGAAGAAGACTTTTGTGACTGCAGGAAGATGACTTTGAGGCTTTGCTGTGCCTGGATTTTTACCCTCCTCCTTCCTGGCCTCTCAGATGGAGGGAAACTCCTGGATGGAAGCCACCGGCTTAGCATGCAGGCAGTGGTTGAAAAGCTCACCGAGAGAGGACACGCAGTGGTGGTGCTTATACCAGAAGCAAACTGGTGGATGGGAACAACAGAGGCATACACTGTGAAAACATACCCAGTGTCTTACACATTAGAAGAGCTGGCTGGTTCCTTGCCTGAACACATTCCTTCTCACCTGAAGACTCCAGCACTACAGAACGTATTGAAAACACCTACAAAAGGTGGTAATTTATCACTGCAAGAACCTGTTCAGCACCAGAGAAACAGTGCAATACCTTCATCAACTGATCTCATTTCCCTGTGCAGAGTAACCACTGTTCATTATTTTTCTCTCCCATTTGGGTTCTTCATGAGAGAATTTCCATGGTTTTCTTCATTACATGGATCTGTTTATTTTTTCTTTATGCTTTAGCTTATCTTTTAGCCTATCCTCTGAAAAGCCCAAAGCCAGGAGCAGTAGAGGCATGTGAATGAGGCAATACTCTCAAAACTACACGACATCCCGTTCACCACTGGTGAGATTAAAGACTGCAACAACATTCAAATCAAGAAATGAGTCACATGAGCTTTTCTTGACATAGTTGCTGAAGTTTTAAAAAAAAAAAAAAAAACAGGTCAGATTTTGGAATCCTTGTTATATACTATCTGATTAAAGATACAGACTGTTTTTATTTCGGAGTTAGAGGGCAGATACAGCAACGTAAACAAAGTTCCTATTTGTTAGCAAACTGAAGACTGAAAATCACCAATTACCTTTGAAGCTTCAACAAGTTTATCACAGGCTCCGCATCGATACAAGTTCTCATTTTCAAAGTACTCTTCTTCTACATACATGTTCCACAGGGCCTCCTCCAAGCCGGTAACACCTTTTACCGCCACTGTTAAGTCTAAGAAATCTTCCTATGCAGAAGTACAACCAAAAAAAACCCCAGAAAAGGTAGTTAAGTGGTGTAAGTTCACGGTACACTAGAGAGATACTCATCCCATTCACCACAGCAGATGTAAGCATTCATTTTGCTTTCACTGCTGATGGGGAAAAACCACCATACATCCACAGAAGAGAAATTAATTTTTAAAAACCCAAACTTTTTTTAAATTACAAAGAGCATAAAAGACTGAAGATATGTTTTGCTATCGTTGCCTCCCTGTTCTGGCTCTCTGCTAACTACATCTACTAAAGGCAATGCTTGCCAACTCAGAAGATGCAATAACACTTGTTTTTTTACCTCTGAGTCACAGCGTGATGTGGGTGGTTTAGAAAATGCCAGCCAAGACTTAACAAAGTCATGCATAATTTTCACATGTTTTCAAGTCCGCAGCACCCCAACCAATACACACTACCTAGATTCAACAAGGCCACCAGTGACACTCAAGAAAGATGTTTGGAGATTTTTGGAGTTTAAAAAAAAAAAAACAAACCAACAAACATTTAAAGTATCTTCAATAGACTGAACAGAAACCTATCCTGGAAAATCAGCTGGCTTTACCTGTCTCTCACTGATATTCTTACATTCTTTACAAACAATCTGGTTGACAACAATCCCATGGTACAATCGGTTGATAAGGTCATGACCCGAAGTCCCCACAAGGGAAGTTTCCAAAGCACTGAACAGAATCCGATTTAATTCCTGCACATCATGCTGCCTCATTTCCTGCGCCATAGAAAAAAAAAAAACCAAAACAAACTTGAAGAAATAAAATAGTGCCATCTGCTTTGCTTACTGCTTAAAACCAGCATATACTAAGCGTAACAAAGCTGCTCATATATTTACTACCTTGAGTAGTAAATTACTATATTATTTGTTATTCTTAATTTATTTATTATTAACTTAATTTAGTCATCTCTGAGTAGCTACAAGTACATAAACTATAACCCACGTAAGACACTTTCACTTGAGTAGATTTAGCCTAAAGTCCAAGATGAGTTACACAGTTCAATTTAGGTAAGAATCTAAGTATTTGGGGACGAGAACTCTAATTACTGTTGCAAAAACATTCCTGCAGAAACAAAGGAAAAGCTACTGACGTCTAACAGAACAATTTTCTTCTGTCACTTGCCAATTGTTTACAGCACGTACTTCACACGGAGATACAATAGTTGACGCAAATTCAATGCTACCTCCACAGCCTGAGGTATTTTAAGATACTTCTTAAGTGTCAGACTTCAAAAAAAAAAAAAAAAACCTTCAGGAAAAAGTTCATCAGTGATGGTATCACTGACAGGGATTTGTACCTCGTGGCTGTTCCACCCGAAGCTCTCCGTAAGGTCTGTTGTGGATGCAGCTTGCTGGTCCAAGAGCAGAAGCTGAGCAAATAACCGTTGAAGTTGTAATGGAATTATTCGAACCTAGAAATCAAAAAAACCCAAAATATACCCAAAAGATCAGAAAGAGTCTTCAAACCAATCATTTAAATAAAAAGAAAAATAATTTAGTATAAAACTTGTAATAAACCACCACCGCCTATAGCTTTTGTAACATAGGTTACTGAATTCACACCAAAACATCGGTCAGACTTGATCTCCAAAAATCTACCGTGCCTCACCTCACTCACGCAAATATAGTCACGGAACATACGTTTCGTGATAAAGCAAACCTATACGCATTAAAATCAAGCCATCACCGTAGTAAAAAAAGGACAACTTTCTCTGGTCTTTTTTGTAATACTAAGCCCTAAGAACTCAGCTACAAGAGATCACAACATGCAGATCCAACAGGTGCTGCTCCTTGCTCAGTAAAGGGTTTGGTGGTGGGGTGGAACAAGATGGGAAGGAGAATGGTTAATGTCCACAAGTTCGATCAGCGACCTATATTTATCTTTGACTTAGAAAGAAAAAGATTTTCCAAGCAACCAGTTGCATCACTTTAACCTGAGAACTGAAGAATGAAATTCTGTAGTCAACTTTAGTAAGTATTTTTTAAATTAAAATTAAATTCCAGTCTCAGACCATCCTGTGCATAGGTGGGCTGTTAAACCTTCAGACAGCTCAGTATAATCATCTGGGCTGCAGACATTGACTGGTTTTTTTTTTCTGCTGACAAATAATAGCACTGTAGCTTTGATTACAGAAGAGAAAAAAATAAAAGAGGACTGTACAGAATTTAGGATTGTTCCTGCTCCCCTTAAAGACAAACTGATCTCTGTTATCAACTTCAGCAGAAACAGGATCAATATTTTACTTTTGAAGCAAAGGCTTATGGCACTGAAAACTTACATCTGGGTACAAAATCGAATATCGGCCAGCCCAACTGTCTTTCAGTATCAAAGTTAAGCTTTCATTCATTCTCACAAAAGGCTTCCTGCAAATTCAAACAATATTCTTCCGAATCAACATTCAGCAGCGACTAATGACAAGAATATTTTAAATACCTTTGCGTCTGGTTTACTGCTATCATCCAGAGTCCCAAGTTCTTCAGGTCCTAGAGAGAACAGTGCCTCTGTAATCGCAAAGAAAAATGTCTAATTAAAAAAAAGAAAGATGTCGTCTCCTCTTTAAAGATTTATTGTATTTTAACTGCCACGCATTATGACGCTATTCTTTTTGGCAAATTAAGATCTTAAACAAAATTTCTGAACATCATTCATCCTTACAACTGGTTCAAGCTATAACCAAGAAGCAGAAGTAAGCATTAAGGTGTTTAGATGGCAAAATTTTATTTTTTTTTTTTTTTTTTTTTAGGAATTGTAGTGGTTGCATTAAAAAGTGAATGACACTTTATGGATAACAATTACCTCTCTTATTTACACAAACTGTAGACTGTCTACCTGTAAGAAAATGTAATGTTTACAATACTCACATTTAACGCAGAAGTGATGATACTAATCCCACAGACCAATAGCTCTGAGTATTCTATAATAACTTATTTGAAGTGAACTGTTCCTGAAAACGATCTGTTTGTGGCATTTCTTAAATAACTAGAACGCAAGTCACTGTAAAATATCAATTCCAACATTACTTTAAGAAGATTTTTAACACATTACCTCTAAATTCAGGTGTGAAAAGCAGAGTCTGCAGAAGGGAATTGAGGTAGCAGGTCCCACCTTGATTTTTGATACCACTTAGTTTGGTGAAATCCCTGGGAGCTGGAGGCTCAGAATCTCTGGGCTTTGATTTCTTCCCTTTCCCACAATGATTGTTTGAAATAAAGGAAAAATCCTCTTCAAATAAATCGCCAAACATTGTGAAGGCAAAACAGTCCTTAAAAAAAAAAATATATAAAATAATCTATTTAATATGAAAAATGTAACTGAATCCACTCACCTCTAATCCTCCAAGACGAACCTTTCAGCCCTGACTGAAGAATTTGTTTGTAATTGTTTTCATCTTATTCCGTGCATTCTAAAAATTAATGTCAGATCCATATAAAAGTGTGCACTAATACGACAAAAAAAAAGTGAATTAAAAGCATTCACGTTAGCACAGGTCTGAACAGGCTTTTAACTAGAATCAAATGCATCACATTTGAATTTTTCACAAGCAAAAACACGCATAGCAAAATAAACAGGTCCTTCTAAACACTTATAATTAACTAGTGCTCAAGTTGCCCGGTTTCCTGCAGGAAAGGTACGTAAGGCCTCTCAAACTCATCAAAATCGCTGGACTGTCTCTCAATAAATCCATGCGCACAAGCAAACTGTCTCTGTATCGGCCAGATGGAAAGAGTGTAATAAACAGTCCAAACTACAGTGATATTTTATGAAAATATTATCTCTGCTTCCAGATGTTTGAGAGCCAGAAACTCAATGGCAACAAAGTGATTCTTCTTGGGGGAATTTTTTTTCAGTCTTTTTTGAAAGCCTTGTGACCTTTTAGCACGTACCAAGATTCCTAAAGTTAGCTCCCTTTCATCTTGTACTTGCCACCCCATAATTTCATTTGGTATGCCGTAGCTCTTGTATTAGCAGCGAGTAATTAATGAGTTACACTGAAGCAGTGAATAATCATTCCCCTATCTACATTCCACTTGCAATTTTACAGATCATCACGTTCCACTCAAACATCTCTTCCAGACAAAAGCTTCCTCTAAGGCATGTTTACTCCTACAACTGAACTCGTCCCCCATCTTCAATTTTCCTTGTCTACCTCCTCCCAACCCCTGAAACTTCTTTCCCTGTTTCTGAGATCAGAGGACCACATCTGCCTACAACATTCAAGATGTGTGCAAACCAGAGAATATACATATATGTATTATTTCTCTATTCATAAATACTAATGCTCTGGTTTGTTCTCTTTTTGGACAACTGCTGAGCACTAAACTGCTTTAAGCAGTGTTTATTATTATCCCAAGGTCTCACTCCTGTATGGTCTCTTCAAACCCCAGCACTACATACACGCTTTACATAAATATGCGTATATATTTACACACATAACTGTAAGGTAGTGATTGTCTCTGCCCCATGCTGCATCTCTCTGCACTCACCTACAGGTAATATTACCTGTTATTGTATCACTCAGCCACCTGCGAGCATGAAGGCTTTAAAGCTGCACTGACGGCACTTGTCTTTACTGCAGTAGATCAGTGATTTCACAAAAAAAATTGATCGCCTCAGCATTCACTGCTTTTTTCCTGATAAATTATGATGTGCACCATACACAGGCCCTAGGAAAGATGCAAAGAAACTCCCCCTCACTCCCCTCTGCGACAGCTGATCTCCCATTTCCTATCTTTTAGCTGATTATTTAATCAAGCAACAACTTTCCTCTCCCGTGTTCGCTTAATTTCTTTAACAGCCTTCAGCGCCAAACCTTACTGAACGCCTTTTGAAAATCCAAATGTAACCAGCAGATCTTCAGGCATCTCCTGAAACTCATTTTAGTCCTTCCCACAATAAAGCAGTTTTTAGGTGAAAGGCTACGCTCGGAGCAGCTGACTACGAAGCAACGCGGCAGCGTGCACTCTGCTTGTTCTGGAATGCTTCTTCAGCACTTCATGCAATACGTATCCCCTTATAAACCCCCCAAAATAAAATTGTATGGCTGGAGATCCTTCTTAATGAACCCAGACAGAAAAGAGATCATTTTGATCTCTTTGCATGAGTTTTTACTTCTCTGAATGTAGCTCTTATACACAGATCACCTAAAAAAACCCCCAAACCTGTAAAGGTCTCACCTCCCATTCTCCAAGACATAACTGCCAGGTTCAGCACTCGTTCCAAACTGTCTCACAGCCTTCATTTATTTTTCAGTCAGGCCTGCTGCACTTTAACCACCCAAAGATTACGACCCTTCCTATTTTCCTCATCTGAACACACAACAGCTTGCTCCTAATAAGTCTGCTCCCCACGAAAAGACAGATATCTAGGAGACAGCCATCATCTTACTGACAGGCTGCTGCACCCACCCACCACTCCAGGAAAGCACTTCAGTATTTCAGGAACCTCAAAGCACTGCTGCTAGCACCTTCCCTTAAAAAAAACAAACAAAAAAAACCATGAAATAACCTAGATTAGAGTAAATCTCTGCATGCCTCTGGTTCAACGCTCTCAGTACACAGAGCCAACTTAGACCACATTGCTTATCAGGGCCTTACCCTGTCGAAGCCGGAGCACCTCCACAAAAGGGGATCCCACCCCCCCTCGTAGCCCCTGCCCTGTATTTCTTCTCTCAGGTGGGAACCTCCCACCTCGTCACTTGGCTCCGGCACCTCCCAGCGCACCCCCACCAAGAACCAGACCGTCCCGACGGCGGTACGGCCCCCACCTCACCTTCCCTTCTTCAGGTTCCACTCACCC